CAAGCTTTTGTTTTTCGGCACTTTGTTCGGCTCTTACATTCACTAAAAAAAACGGCTTTGTCCGTAATTTTTAGATATCCGGAATGGCCACACACGCGGCTCATTGGTATTGTCTATTGCACATTGTTCCACGTGTTCCTCTTGAAGCGGATGTTTGCGTTGCACAAGATCATTACCCGCATGTTGTATAATCAATCCGATGTAAAGTTGTTAAAAAATTGTTAACTATGAGGTCAGTGCGAATACCTATACGATCGAAACGAATGACTTGAGGCTATCTATCAGATAGCTTATATTTAACATATATAGGCGGCATGTTGTTTGTGAGGTAGCTGATAGTCCTCGTGCCTCCTCTACCTACCGTTTTTTAGGGCATTGACGTAAAGGCCTCAATTTATATTTAAAAAAGTTGAGGGCCCTCTAATTCGAATTATGAGTACGGTTTTGGTTAAACATTCTCGACAGGACAGAGAGGCTGTGTTACTCATTCGGTTAATGCAGTGATCAGAGAGCGATGGTATTGATAAAACTTTTGTGGAAGATCAACCTATATAAAATGGTGCCTATCCAGTAGCTTCGTTTTTGGTCATGAACTGCACGAGAAACACTTTCTGGCCCCGCCACGGTGGTCTAGTGGCTAAGGTACTCGGCTACTGACCCGCAGGTCGCGGGTTCAAATCCCGGCTGTGGCGGCTGCATTTCCGATGAAGGCGGAAATGTTGTAGGCCCGTGTGCTCAGATTTGGGTGCACGTTAAAGAACCCCAGGTGGACGAAATTTCCGGAGCCCTCCACTGCGGCGTCTCTCATAATCATAAGGTGGTTTTGGGATGTTAAACCCCACATATCAATCAAATCAATCAATCAAACACTTTTCTGATCATTATATGCGCACATGACACGCATTTTGACCAGAATACTAGCGACGTTTGCTACCTCCCCATTCTTTTTCTTCATAAATGGTGCTCGATGATAGCGGTCGCACGCACCTAGTCGTCGGCTGCATCTGAGAAAGGCGATATTTCCTGTGGCACAATAATACTCAATTGGTAATAGGTGTAAATTCACTGCACACATTGTATTGCAACTAAAATAATGGTGTAGTGGCTATAGGAATTGTTTGTTTTAGATTATATTTTAGTCAGTATAATAAATGCAGAATCAAAATCAGCATAAAAGCATGGCTAGGCCACAAGGAGGAAGTTGCTTGTCAAGCATAAGCAAATTCTTGGTAAAAAAGCATTGCTGACATTCAATTTGGCAAAGTTATGGTGACGCTCGAATACTTTCATACATATAGAGAATTTCGTAAAATATAGAAAGGCATTCATTAGTATTTTGAAACCTATACTTGTAACAAAACGGCATTTAAATGTTATTTTGGCATTGGGTTTGTCGAGACACCATCGCTGCACGTCTGAAAAGCTCACGAGAGTAGCTCGAGGGCATAGTGTATATGTAAGGGTTTGGGACCAATGGAATAGGAAAATTTAAGTGTGTAAAGTCTT